GTATGGCGTGCCGTTTTACTTTTTACTAACATAAAAATTAATCAATCAAAAATAAAAATGCCGAAAAATAATTATCTAAAGAAAAATTGTATTTTCTACTTAGAGATAAAATTATGTTGCGACATATTTATAATGTGATGAATTAAAATTATGACTTGACATAACAATAATTTTGAATTTTTATTATGTGCTGACATAATTTTATTTCATAGAATTATTATTATGTTAAAACAAAAACTTTAATTAATTGAATTATTATTATGTTGCGACAAAATAATAATTCCATGAATTAAAATCATGTCAAGACATAAAAAACATTTAAATTTATTTTATGTTCGGTCATAATTTTAATTCATTGAATTTTTAGTATGTCGCTACATAAAAACAATTTTGATTTTTTATTATGTCTCGTAAATCGTCGAATTAAAAGTACGTTTAGACATAAAAATAATTCTAAATTTCTATTATGTAGCATCATAATTTTAATTGATCTAATTAATATTTTGTTAAACCATAAAAATAACTTCAAATTTTTATTATGTCCTGACATACTTTTAATTCATCGAATTATTATTATGTTAAAACAAAAAATTAATGAATTGGATTATTATTATGTTGTAACGAAAATAATTCTATGAATTAAAGTTATGTCAAGACATAATAAAACTTTAAAATTATTTTTATGTTCAGTCATAATTTTAATTCATCGAATTATTATTATGTCACGAGAAAAAATAATTCCGAATTTTTATTATGTCTAGACATAAAAATAATTCCTAATTTTTATTATGTCCTGACATATTTTTAATTCATGGAATTATTATTATGTCGCAACATAAAAGTAATTGTTTTGTTTTTCTTATGTCATAACATAATTTTAATTCATCGATTTATTATTATGTTCTCACACATAATTTTAATTCATCGAATTTCTATTATGTCAGTACATAATTTTAATTCAAGTGTGCTAGAGAATTTAATTTTCTTATATTGGCAGCACTGCTGGCGTCAATTTCTACGGTGCACATTGCTTTCCCGCGTATTTACACAAAACCTTAAATATTTGTTCATCTGTGATATGTGTGTTATGTGTGATCTACGTATAATATATTATGGTTAAATAATAATGGTTAATATTTTGGTAATATAATTGGTTAATGTATAATTTTGTATTTATATTCAGGTGTATCTGATGAGTTGTTCGAAATAGAAAGAGATCACACGTTTGATGAAATAAAAGAAAATATTTTGGTAATATATAGTGGCAGCAAGTTTGGCGCCAACACACAGCCTGTGATATTATACACGTGGCGTTACCGCGTTTATACAAATACAATAATTTCGAATATTGTTATAGTAATACCGTCTTAGGTCTACTTAGTAATAAGTACATATTTCAAATTAAAATGTCCAATGAAAGGGAAATAACTGATTATACTTCTACAAATCCACATCAAATGACTATCAATATGCAATACGGTATAAATATAGCAAGAACTCTTAGAAGAATTCGTAAAATAATTGCTGATGCTGTAAGATCTTACGAGTATTCAAAGACCATAGCACATGGTCCTTTGTATATGGCCAAGTCAAATTTGAGGAGAATTTTTACCGAAATATCACAAAATACTTATAACAAACTTTTGGAAGCAATAGATGCTTTACTTTTAATTAAAAGTGAAGAACATCAACAAAGAAGGAACTATGTTGCATGCAGAAATTCAATAGGTCAGTATTTTTTGTTATCAAAATTTTATACGGTGTATTAGTATTGTAATAGGTAAAATAAATTAAAGTAAATTAGTTTTTTCTGAAAACTTTTATAAAATCAGGAAGAGGTCGTCCTGCTATTCAAATACATGAAAACCAATTGCAATTATTATACAACGAAGGGTTTACCGCTAGCAGTATGGCAAGAAATTTGGGTTGTTCGAGAAGTACTATTTACAAAAAATTGTATGAATTAAATATGCCTATGCGTGCAAGATATTCTCAAATACCTGACAATGAATTGAGAACAAAAATTATACAAATTCATCAAGAACATCCCAATGCTGGATATATGGTAATATTGAAAAGTGTCGGAAACTATACTTAAGAGAATAACAATTACAATAAATCAATACATTATAGATGATGCAATCATATTTAAAAGTAAAAGGTATTCGTATACCACGATATAGAGTGAGAGAAATTTTAAGCACAATAGATCCAGTTGGAACTGCAAGTAGATGGAGTCAGTCGATAAAAAGAAGGACTTATCTGGTTGCAACTCCAAACTCTTTATGGCACATGGATGCACATTTAAAATTGTCGAGGTAACATCGTTTTTTAATTACAATTACTAATTTAAAACTCTTCATATTACACGCAGAGATATTGGTTTATTAACGTATATTTAAATTTATAGATGGGGTTTCGTAATACATGGTTGCATTGATGGATATTCTAGAATGATAATATATTTAATATGTGAGACATCTATTCAAGCAGAACCTGTTGTCAAGTTCTTTATCGATGCAATAAGCAATTATGGTCTACCTTCACGAGTACGATCAGATCATGGATATGAAAACCTTCTTGTGGCTGTTTTAATGAATACAATCCGTGGCGTACACAGAGGAAGTCATATAACTGGCAAGTCTGTTCATAATCAAAGAATAGAAAGATTATGGGTAGATGTCTTTAAAGAAGTTTGCGATTCTATTTATACTGACTTATATTCTTTAGAAAATCAAGGTTTATTAGATATTGAAAATATTAAACACAGATTTTGCGTGCAATTTGTTTACAAACCTGTTATTAATAAAAAGTTATTGTCATTTTCATCTGCGTGGAATATTCATAGCTTAAGAACAGAAAATAATAAAACCCCACGGCAATTATGGCTGGAAGGAATATTAGCAAATTACAATACAGCTTCCACAGCAGTGCGTGATATTTTTGATATCAATGTGACTTTATATGACCGACTTACTGAATCTTTACAAGCGTTAGGAGTTGATCTTTCAGTTCCTATTATAGATAGCAATAACACAAATCTTCCTTCTTCGTCTTTTACCGCACTATTAGATTTAAATAATNAACANAAATCATATTTGGAAAATATTGTTAATACTGCAGAAAGATCTAATATAGAAAAATATTTACTATGTACAAATTTTTTAACTTCTTAATATATATTGTATAAAAAAACTGTAAAAATATTAATCGGCTTGACCTTTGAAGTAGTGTCGCGTCTTTTACGAATTTGTTCACAAAATGTGTCCAAAACAATAAATATTTAAATAAATTTTTTCAGATGAGTAACAACTAATAAAGAATAAGACCTTATACAGCTACGTCGGATGTACGCAAAATATATATATATATATGTATATGTATATATATTTTATATATATACAGAGTGTCCGGTAATAGCAGTACAATCTTTTGTAGACAAGTAAAGGAGGTCAAAGTCTTTCTGCAATAATTGACAAAGATGATAATTAACAAAGATTCGTGAATGAGCGTGCATTTACGTGCAAACATGACAGCTCAGTGTTTCGCGCGCTCACGTTATTACTCCCATGACAACGGAATGGGAAAAGCTCTCTCTCTCTCTCTAATACAACAACATATAATATAATACATAATAATCTAGCTCTTCCCATTATAATTAGCTCTTCTCATTTTGTTGTCATGGGAGTGACAGTTGTGAGCGTGTGAAACGCTGGACTGTCTTACGCACGTGAATGCACGCTTATTTGCGAATCATTATTAATTAACATCTCTTTAATTATTGCAAAGTTTGCAAAATAATAAAGAACGTTTCGACTCAGTATGATTTCCTTTATCTATCTACGAAAAATTGTACGGCAATTACCGGACATCTTATATAATTCGCACATACATTCGGCGTTAAGCTCTATAAGGTCTATTCTGTATTATTATTTATTAGTTGTTTGTCCGAAACAAATTCACAAAAAGCACGATACTAATCTAGCATTCGGTATAGTGTATCACCTGAAAATCATGCTGATTTCTGGAATAATTGTGATTTCGATGTTCTTTTAAATATGCAAACACCTACTGCGACAAAAGTCATAAATTGTTTAGTGACTGACCTTTACTTAACAAATGAAGAAACTGATGTATTGCATTATTTTACTATGTACATTCAATGTCTTGACAAAGATAAGCTGGCAAATTTAGTATTTTTAATTACTGGATTTTTTCTTATGCCTACCAATATTATTGTACAATTTAATGACACAGTAGGTTTAAGCCAAAGATCAATATTTATTACATTTACCGATACTATAATCTTACCGAAAACGTATGCACATTATATGACTTGAATATGTGTTTAAATATGGAAGAAGTCAAGAAATATACGAGCTATTAATCAATTAATACCAAAATATCATTTACTTTTTACTTATATATATAGATTTAAATCGGAATACTATATCCTGTTAAGAATGAATAGATTAATACTTATTTATTTGGTTAGTGGTCTTGACACAGTTCTAGTGACAGTTTTCAATTACAGTTTTACATGATTAATAAACATAACATATTAAGATATGTACGTAATACTCTCTCTCTCTCTCTCTCTCTCTCTTTTAATTTAAAACGATACAATTAAAGTGTGATGAAACTTTTTGGTTCTTTATTGCAATTTCTTGTGCAGTTTATTTTCTTCTTTGAGTAATTATATAATAATGATATGCAATATTCTACGACAGCTGATAGAGCGTTAATTTTACATTTAAACTTTCAAGAAATTACATTTTAATTTTTACCTAATGTTGTATAAAAGCGTTTAAATAAAAGAGTTATAGTATTTATAATGTCTTGGTCTGCGTAAAAATTGCACATGTATTTTATGTAAAATGAAGATTATACTTAATATTCAATTATTTGATAATTTACTTACAAGCTATATCACTGATGTTAAATATAGACGTCATTTTCAACAACTATTATACATATTATCCCCGCCGGATTTAATTATACACAATCGAGTTATACACAAAAATATTCTTACCACTATGTATTAAGCAATAGACCAACTATCACAATGAATTTCAAAAGTACATGCTTAGGTGCGAGCGCACAAAGGAACGCTTATTTTGTGCGCTCTTTCACATAAAAAAAAGAGAAAAAATATTAACAGTAGAATGTTGTCCTGTTTAGAAGTTATACACTTATGTGTCAAATAAATCAAGAAGAACGAGATTTTTCATCCTTGGTGAAAGCTACTGGAAGAATATTCAGGAGAAATAACATTATATCTAATTAAAACCTTAAATATTTGTTTAATAATATGATGTGTATGATCTATCTACGTACAATCTATTTTCTAAGCAAAAGTGTTTGATGACACGGAAATAGCTAATCGTCTGTTAAAAATAGTAGCTACTGCGTCAAACAAATCAACACAAGAAGAACGAGACTTTTTATTTTTAATGACAGCTACTCGAGGAAAGTTTAGAAAAACTGATATATCTAGTCCAAATAGAAGAGGTAAGAGAAAGAAGACATTTAACAAGAAAGTAGTTTTAATGAAATTAGCACACGCCGATTTTTTCCCATCCAATGTCGAATTACAATTTTTGAAACAGAGAGGACTAGGTTTATGTTTATTTTATGTATTAAATGTTTAAGTAAACAGATTTATTTATTTGCAAACAAGCCTGAATTGGTTAATGTATCTATATTTTGTGTTTATATTCAGGTGTATCTGATGAGTTGCTCGAAATAGAAAGAGATCGCACGTTTGATGAAATAAAAGAAGATATCATTTTACTCTTACGTTCTTCTATTCAAAACTTATTACGAATACGTGGCTTTAGACTGGGAAGAATAGACAAACCGAATAATCTCATTCTTCTTGGAGATATTCAAAATGGAACTGATTTAGAAAATCAATTGAAGCAAAGCAACCTTATCGTACTTCCTTTGAACGATTTTCCTCTTATTACAGAACCAAATACTTTTCCTTCTGAAACAGCAAGAAATAGTTCAAGGTTGTCTTTAACTTTGAGAAACAGTGATTCTGATAATACTAGATTAAAACAAATTCTATCAAGCACTATGTCACCACAATCTCCAGAAACAAGTGGTCTGCTAAGAAGATCAAAAAGAACACGGTTTGAAATAATTGAAGAAGAAGAAGAAAAAAATTTTGATAAAAATAAAGATGATCAATTGTGCAATTTAAGATTCTATTATTTGATAACATGGTGAACGTATAAAAAAGTGATTATAAAGACTAGGAAAAATTAGTAATTCTTATTTTGAATTTGACTGTAATTTTTGCTTAAAAATAATATTAATGATTGAATTTCAGATGTCAAAAAGGATACTATTGCAGAGAAATGTTTGATATTTTGATACTTTCCAGAAGATGCAGAAGAAATCACTAATGAAATAAATAAAAGTAACTGTCTTCACAATTTGATAAATTTATATAAGGATGAACATGTGTTAACAAGAAGTTGCGAGTCACTTTTATTGGAGAAATAAGTCTTGATGGGAATAGTCTTACTAAAGAACTGTTTAATCTCTCCTTTGTTTAATATGTTTTTCTAACCTCATCTTTAAATTTGATTATAACTTAATAAACTAAATAGTTGATATAAACGGCGTGTAATACAAAACATTTTAAATGAATAAATGTAATTTAAAAAATATTTACCTTGACAGGTTTAAACGTGCATTTATACCATAAAGAGATTAGAGTTGTAACTATATAAGTCTTCTTTTAATATCTCTTTTTTTGAATCTAAAATTCAATAAATAAAAACCAATGTAATTAAATTTATTTTAGCTAGTAAAATAATAATACACCGTAAAATTAAATAAATTGTGATAATAAGAAATAATGACCTACTGGCATATATATGCAACATAGGTCTTTCTTTACTGATGTTCTTCACTTTTAATTAAGAATAAAACATCAATTATCTGTTTCCAAAAGTTTGTTATAAGTATCATGTGATAGTTTAGTAAAAATTTTTCAAATCTGACTTGCCTATATACAAAGGACTATGTGCTTTATATATAGACGCGGTAAAGCCACGTGTAGTATGCACGGTAATATAGTACCACACGATACCGCGGTACGCATAATCCATGTTAACAAAAAACAGACAACGACACGATAGTAATATTACAACTGTCTCTTATTTTTGACAATTAAAATACAAAATGTAAGACTGATTTCTTCTATGGAAAGTTATTTTATTCTAACCAAATCGAAAATTTGAACTAATGGTTTTTCTGTTTGAAATCTCTTTATATCTACTTTATACTGTGCGTACAGTCGGCGTCAATGAATCGTTTCGTAGACCTGGGGGGCTAGGGGTAAGAGAGACGGTATTCTCTAGCAGTAAGTACTTCCAACGGGCGCCGTACTAACTAACTGTAGCAGATCTCGTTGAATTGACCAATTACAGTATTTACTGCTAGGGAGTACCGTCCCTCTTACCCCTAGCTCCCCGCGTCCACGAAACGATTCATTGACGCCGACTGTACATCTACAGTATGACGTATCCTTTGCCTTTACTTTTATGAGTCTTCATTCTCTCGCTATCTGAAAAAATAAAGAGTTTTAATCTTGTTTTATGATCTTTTTTGCAAAGTGTAAATATCACGAAATATACCTTAATGGTTTGAAAGCTCTCCAAATTCTTCTCGTTTACAATCAACGTTTTCGTCTCAGTAAAGCTGTAGCGTCTATAGTTACCGTGATAGAACTAACATCTCTGATTCTTGATCTTATAGTGTATTCTAACAGCGCTTTCATTACCTAAACGGTGTCCTGAATAGATAAGGTCCGTCAATTTTTGTGCGTTTAGCTATTTTACTATCGGTTCAAGCAACGTGATTTCCTGTCGGGCAATGTACACGAATAGCGCGGTTGTCTATATGTTTTCCGAGTCGTACTTGTAAGATAAGCGCGGCATCAGAAAAGGATGATTATCTGATTATCGTACTTTTGCGTGGGAAATGGCACATTCTTTCTGCCCCAGTATGTCAAACCGCCCTCTTTTCTTTCTTGTTTCTTTAGAATGGTGAGACTTCGCTCGGCATCCAAAGATTTTGTTACAAACAGCGCGTAAGTTACTATTGCTATATCATAAAGCTTCTTCTTTCTTTGTTCTTCTTACAATTTCAGGTTTTTCTTGAGCAACCTGACTCATGCCACCGGATAAATTTTTGACACTCTCTAGTGTGATGAGAACATGTGCAGTAAGACTGATGTTTCGACGAACGATTTCATTGTAGATCAAGAAACTATTCATTTTTCGATTCGGCAACAAAGTCACTTCGTAGAACAACCTTTCCAGCGTCTGGTGTTTGAATATCCAGGAAACTGTCTGCTCGATCACTTCAAAATCAATATACAGAATATACAGATACTTTTCCCATTCGTAGAAAGTAGCCTACTGGAAGATCCGTGCGCGAAACGCTGTAAGACAGACACTCGGCAGTGACTGATTCCAATATAAAATTCCAGCATAAAAGAACTCGAAAGATCCGTCAGGATTCATGAACGATAGCTGTCGCTGATAATCAAAGTTCAGTAAGTGTAGTAAAAGCTCTCCTCCTGCGTACAATTACGCTAATTGATCAGACGCATATACATAGTGGTATATATATTGGCGGCAAAGCTAAACATATTTTGCTCGACGCAATCCATAGGCAAATTCATAAGGCTTGTCACGTTCACTGGCATTGTAGACAAAAGATCAGCCTCACTACGTTACCAACCACGCTGATTGGTGCTTTGTTAGATTCGAATACATAGTAGCGATTCTAGTAAAGTATACTCGGTGTCTCAATGTTTACGTGCATATATTGGAACACATAAGCGCGATTACTGAGATACAGTAGAATAGAATGATGTCGATATTGCGGTACCATCGGCTTCGCCATGTAGAATGCGAGTCACTGAATCCTTGCCGCTTGAGCCGTCGTGTAAACGTGAATTTTGATTTCGCTGAATTTAACCGGCACAATAGGCAGATAAACGATGCTAGCGTCCTAAGCAGGTGTCCAAATGAGGAACTGGTGTTTGCCAAAGGATGTACACAGCTTATACAACTGTATAATGCCATTGTTTTCAACATAAACAAATTTCTAATTTTTGGAATCAGCCAATACTACCGTTGCTTTAATGTCAGAACATATATAATAAAAATCGAACACAAATTCCAATTTGTTCACCTTGGTTACTGTTTGTCCGTATCTCCACATTTATGTAAAACGACAAAATTCTGGTATACTCCAATGACTTCCACAATAGACTAAAATGCTGGACAATATGCTAAATGCAGTGATCATCCACTGAATCCGTCTTCGCGGTACATCCCACTTAAAGATCTGTCGCTCATGACAATTGATATTGATGTCTTCCCACAACTAAACGTTCTCGTTCTTTGAATCCGGTTAAAGTGCCACGTGCAAAAGTTTGCTAAATTGGTGGCATTTTCTTTAATGTATCGCGTTTCGTCTGTACAGTCCTCGCAGTCGAACACATCATCGCATTTCTTTTCCACTATGTAATAACGACTGGATAAGCACTTGCTGTATTCTTGGATTTGGTTCTAGAATTCAGGTCGTCGGTATATCACGGCGTCCATAAAAACGATCAGTCCGATAATCAAACATGCGATTGGCGTCGATAAAGAAAGTAGACAACGAAAAATACATGATTTCGTTCGAATTATCGTTGTGGTATTGTTAAGTATTGCCGGCCTAACTATACGAGATGCATNCATAAATTATTTACTGCAAAATTAGATTAAAATTAAAAACTATTCAAAAATCAAGCTTTGAAATTTAAATTCAAAATTTTACTTATAACACTCATTTTTATAAAATTATGTATATTTTATTTTTTTTTACTATCACATTATATTTTGATAACTTACGATTCAAAATTAACAGTAAGTTTAACAGTAGAAGCTGAAAGATTTCTGTCTGTATCTCAATCTTGATCGTTATAAAAATTTCATGGAATTCTAGATTCTGTTGTGAGTGAATAGACTATTTCTTAAAGCGAATAATAATGAAGGAATCATAACAGCCATTTTTCTAAAACAAAAATATATATAAATTTATATATATATATATACATATACACACATATATATACACGTATATACATTTATCATATATTTTATGAATACTATTTCAAAATATTATGTTGAACACACCACACAAAATACATTCACATACATACAATAAATTGAAACACTTGGAAACAGAATATAACACATATATATTGTTTCATAAAAAAGTTATAATATTTATATTCATTTAACACACTTTCTGTGCAAAGCCATTTTTGCTTGACTTTTCATTCAGTGTGCATTACGGATATTACGATTGTATTATATATTAATTCGTGGTATATATAATGAATTGTAAGTCAAGGAAACCATGGCTCGGCGCTTACCTAAAGTCTTTTTAATTGAATCCATATATCATTTGTACTTATAAATACTTCATGTTATAAACGTGAATTTATAGTGCGTAATTTATAAGCAAAAATATAAATGAAATAAAAAAGTCGGACACGTTAGTTAGTCGTCATACAAATTAACAAGCAAAGAGAATGGAAATGAAACCAACTCAAAACTACGGAGAAAAAGAATAACAGGACGATCAAACAGGAGAGATTGTGAACTTAGACAAAAGAGATATCCGCATTAAAATTGTAAAAATGAACACATTTACTAGTTGTTAAGCAATCATAGATTTTACTAACCTCACTTTTGTAATGTTTGCTACATTGCATGATACAGAATCGATGCTCATAGGATTAATTTCATATTTTTTTGTAGAATTTTCTCTTCTTTGCACGTTCATTTCAAGTGTAAAAAGATACAGAATTTTCTTCTTCTTCTCCGCTTAAATGATTAATGAATTTGCTTGCCCCTTCACGAGAGGAACATAATAAGCCAGTTTAAAACAGATTGTACTAAAATATTAAGATAAATGTGGTGTGGAACACCACGGATTCAAAAAATAACTTCTACGCAACAGCGACCGTTGTGGCTCCAAGCAACGGGCGACGACAAGTCGAAAGATGCAGAAAGATGATCTCCGAAAGATACAGAATCAACCTGAGCATCGATTCAGTATCATCATGCAATGTAGCGAAAATTACAAAAGTGACCAAGGTTAAAGTGTTTATGATTGGTTAACAACTAGTAAATTTTTGTTCACTTTTGCAATTGTAATGCGGATATCTCTCTTCTCTAAGTTCACAATCTCTACTGTTTGGTCGTCCTGAGGGTCGATACTGGATCACGCAGTGTAATGAAAATTACAAACATGAGCGAATTTACTAAAATATCTATGATCTTATTGGTCAACAACTAGTAAATTTGCTCAGTTTTGTAATTTTCACTACATTGCATAGATACAGAATCAATCTTCTTGTTATTCTTTTTCTCCATAGTTTTGAATTGGTCACATTTCTCATGATGTAAGAAGATAAGGGCTGCGTTCGAGGAGCGCGCTATCAGCGCTGTTGCATCATTCTATTTTTATTGCTCATTAGATGTAAAACAAAGGTAGAAATAATAACATAATAATAGAATAATGACAGAACAGCCAATCAAATTGTTGCCTCAAATAATATGAATAATAATAATACAAATAATATGAATTATACGATAAATAAATATTAATCAATTTTTTTTAATTACCTACGTAATGTTTATATTTTTTATAAAAAAAGACGCAAATATCTTTTCCTACACAAACGACTTAACTTAACTTAACAACATCTATATTAGTACATTACGGGCGCTTTCCAGCTATGTACACAGGCGACACTGGCTTAGTTTACATCGTACAATTGATACGCGTATCAAGTACTATATTCGTACCAAATTCGTACTAAATATTTTAGTACGCACGATGTAAACGCTATCGGATCAACTTGATACGAGCATATCAAACAGGAGTATCGTACTAAACTGATACGCGTATCAAGTGATACAAATAACGATGTAAACGCATGAAACGTATTTTAAAGTTATAGGTTGATTAAAAGATATAGGTTAAGATTATAAACTTATAATTTTTTAGTCTCTCTAATCAAAATGTCTTGCAGAAAAGGTATGAATTGAGGAGAAGATTAAACAAAGACATTTTTGGAATAATGCCTGAAAAAGCAAATTGTTGTTTTACTAGACGGAAAAAAACACAAACATATAGATATTTTTATATTATTAGTTGAAGATATAGAGAAAAGAGGTTTTTTTAAAACGGCTCAAGCTATATATTTTTGTACACTGTTATTATTCATCCTTTTTCAAATAAATTATACACTTTATATTATACACGTTTTTTCTGGAAA